GCCACTGCCATTGTGATCGCTGGAACCGAATTCGTTGGATGAATTCATTGTGGCTTTCACACCACTGCCTGTATCGAAGCTTCGCAGAAAGCTCTTGAGGCATGGTATAGTCGCTGCCATCAACGACCAACAAAGCTCAGATTGCTGAAATACAAGGGCGGATGTCCGCCGGACACCAGGGTTTGGTGCCACCAGTGAGTATGTCCATCTCTTCAGAAAGAGGCCACTTAGCGCGACCAGAGGTAGCCGGACAGCGAACACTGCAAGCACCTGCAACTTCAGCATGGTGGACATGTGAAGATCCCAGCACAACAAAGAGGGTATGATGACAAGCGCGAAGTCAGTGACGGCGTCAGTAATGACAACAGCCTCGTACCTCGCCACAATGGATGGGCAGGTCTGGGACGGCATCGTTGGTGCCAAGCTCTCGGGCGAGCATCCTACTGACACCAGGAACGCTGCTAAAACTGTCCATGCTACTGCTATCGCCGTCATCGAGTTACAAATTATCCAGGCTTTCTTCATATCCCTGGTAAATAATCGCCTGATGAACAAGATCGTCGAAAGCTTAGAAAATCCAAGGGAGACATAAAGGGCAATTTGATTGCCGAATTGCATCTGCAGAGAGGGATAAGCTGGCTGCCAAAGTCCTGGTGTGGGTGAGCTTACTGTGGCCATCCTTGCGTAGTCGTCATTCCTTAACAAGTCGAAGTTCTTTGCCAAGCCATCGGACAGCGCAGCGAGCAAGAGTGCAAACTGAACAAGATTGGCAACCTGCCATCGTCAGTTCTACGTACTGCCGGCCCGTTGATGGAGAAACAACCTGGGCAAGTGCATTCGCGGCATCATCGATCCCGAGCATGTGCCGCTTTATGAAGCATCGTGTTAGGAATGTGATGCTTGAGTACGTGAAACTCAAGAAAGCAATGATGTAGAGTACGCCGCTTCTATCGTCAGGCGTAATAGTTGCCCATCGGTGACCGAAGTCTGGAGGGGATGCCATGTTGATGGCGGCGTGAAGTATCTGACTGGGCCAGATGCGTATGGAGATGTGGTGCCGCATATAGCTTCGGGAGTTTTATTGGAACAAGGTCGGGAGGAACCACTGTGTCGGGCACGCGAGCTCTTTCTGACCAATTTCCGCAAGCATGGCGCTCGAAGTGGACATTGATCTCAGCGTGCGAGTCCTAGCCATGTGGTACATGCCGCTTCAGTATAAACAAAAGGTACCATGAGCACGTGTCAGGATGGGTGGAGACGCTCAACACAGACTGGACCCAGATTTCTAACAACTGCTCGTTCGAGGCCTCTTGTGCAGTCTCAGAAGATGATACCTCGGGCGGTACTGAACGCAGATCATGTCTCGGTACAATTTGGCGTGGCCAGTACCACACAAGACTCGACCATGGCACTCATGTTGCGTGACGTGGGACGGTTCCGTGTGGCAGGATTGGCTGAAGGGGCTTTCTTTGTACACGCAACGCTGCAGTAGTGGGTTAGCCTTTTGAAGCCTCGGATGCCAGCGGAGAAGAATTCCATCCTAAACATCGTCGTCGGTAGACAACTGTCGACTCTCGACATACCGCGCGGATTAGGGTAGGGTTGTCTGGGGACGTTCAGACAGAGGGGCGTCGTGGCTGATACTTGACCTAAGTTGATGGATCAAGTTAGCGCGCGGTACCGGTAATTCGTACCCCTCGTGCCCTCCACCCTCCCACCCTCCTGAGTCCAGAGTCCTGACCACACCTGCACGTTCATACGACAAAATTCTGAATCGGGTCGCACAAACACGAGCATGCATCACGTTGTCGGCTCTTGGCCAAGCCGGCTAATTCACGTTGTGCACGATTCTGATTCACCCAGCAGATGTTACTGTGCAGTCGTACACAGGCGATGACTTCGCACCCCATACCGGCACTCTCGAGCCCCATCAGTGTCTGCTCGACTATGTATAGCCCTATGAGTTGCATACAGGACCCCGGTGGTCCCCTGTAGTATATTTGCCTGATCTGCGGATTGTCCGGCGCCTTCCGTTCATGTCGACCTCGCGAGCACATGCTGTCACACTGCATATGCTAAACGAACTGAGCAATGAGAGCGCTTCGCGAATGCACCTGTACTGTCCCTGCACTGTCCCTGCACTCTTTTCTACGGGTAAATCTGAGCCATGTTGCAAACTAACCACTGGAATGTGCTCTGGCATGGACAATCTCCGTCTCGCTACCACCGCCACGGATGGGCCAGTGCTTTAGAATGCTCAGAAACCTCGTCTAGCCCAAGCCTGATGCGCAATCGTGACACCTGCCTGTGCTCAGCCTCTTGCCTTTGTCTTTTTTGTGACACTGTTGTTTTGTCTTGATCAGCGCTCGTCGATAATTTTACGGTCTGATCTCGCCCTTGCGACTGACGACTTCAACACCAGGTGCCATGTCTACTGCGTCCAAGGAAATCGGCGGCGTGACATTGAACGATAATGACTCGCAAGCAGACAGCGTGCTGGGAGAAAAGAGGGGAACTCAAGATGACCAGAAAGACATGCATCGCATGGGAAAGACCCAAGAGCTCAGGAGGAACTTCCGATTCGTGTCAATCTTTGGATACTCTATGATCTTGATGGCTACATGGGAGACCCTTTTGACGTAGGTGACAGGTTGTGAGTGGGTGCTAAGATGATACCTTTCTGACTATCGACAGGACTCTCGCGATTCCTCTGACGAACGGAGGTACAGGAGGTGCAATCTTCGTCTTCCTTGGCACAGCCATTGGTATGGGTTTCGTGATCACCTCGATGGCTGAAATGGCTTCAATGTATGTCTCAATGAGCAGTGCTACACAACATTATCAACGTGGCTGAACATGATGCTAATATTCTCGGCCAGGGCACCTACCAGCGGAGGGCAGTATCACTGGGTCTCGGAATTTGCACCAAAAAAGCATCAGAAGTTTCTGAGCTACGTTGTCGGTGTGTTCGCAAATTCAGATAACATGTATGCAGCATGAGCTGACTTGCCTTAGGCTGGCTGTGCGTCTTGGGATGGCAGACAGGTATAGCGTCCATCGCTTTCTTGGCTGGAGGTCAAATCCAAGGCCTCATCATTCTTAATAACCCATCATATGTGCCGCAAAGATGGCACGGTACACTTCTAATCATCGCAGTCGCGAGCTTTTCCATCGTCTTCAACACCTTGCTAGCACGCAAACTACCGCTGATCGAGGGAACCGTCCTGGTACTACACATTTTCGGCTTCTTTGCCATCTTTGTAACGATGTGGGTGCTAGGCCCACGCAGCAAAGCCAGCGACGTATTCGGGTCCTTTCAAGACAACGCAGGGTGGGGCAGCATCGGACTTTCATGCTTGGTTGGCCAACTCGCGCCCATATTCTCTCTGCTGGGCTCAGATGCTGCAACACACATGAGTGAGGAGCTCAGAGATGCTTCTCACACCCTTCCACGCGCCATGATCTGGACGGCTATCGTGAACAGCTCTTTAGGGCTCATCATGCTCATCACATTCTGCGTCACCCTTGGAGATGTCGAGAGCGTGCTCATGACCCCTACTGGCCAGCCGCATATTCAGGCCATGTATAACGCTACACAATCAGTACGCGGAGCCACCGCCCTTGCATCGATCACAACCATCATGGCGGTCTTTGGCTGCGTCAACAATGTCGCCACTTGTTCGCGTCAACTGTTCGCTTTCGCACGCGACCATGGTGTACCTGGCGGGGCTTTCCTCTCCCACGTTCGACCTGGTTGGGATATTCCCCTCAACTCCGTCCTTGTATCCTTCGCTGTTTCCATCTCCCTCTCCATGATCAACATCGGTTCAACCGTCGCTTTCAACTCCATCGCTTCACTTGGAACCTGTGCACTACTCTCGTCCTACATCATCTCCATCTCTTGCATGTTCCTCAAGCGCTGGCGCAATGAGCCATTACTGCCTTCGAAGTTCAATCTTGGGAAGGCTGGGATTTGGATTAATGGCATTTCGGTCATTTATCTTAGCATGGCATTTACCTTTGCGTTCTTCCCCGCGTTTCCGCATCCAACGCCGGATGTGATGAATTGGAATATCTTGATATATGGCTCGGTTGTGGTGTTCTCCCTTGTGTATTTTTTTATCAAGGGGAGAAAACTGTATGAGGGGCCGGTGGAGTATATCAATCGAGACTATTAGATGTTGACAGCCTGTGTGAAATCGGACAAGATTCAGCCTAAGGAACTGCTAAATTGAGATTAAATCACATCCTATAACCGTCAACTGCCAGGGTCGTCGCTCAACACTGTTCATGCTAGTATTATCCTCACCATGCAACATATTGCATACGAGCAACTTCAATAACGAATCAGATGATTGTTTTCCACGAAACGCTTTCTATCATTTGGTATCTTGTTCCAAAACGGCTGTTTTATCGCACGGTTGGTCACATCACGGTGCTGGCAACTCGTTCAAATAGTGGCAGTGGCTCAACGAGCGGATCTGATTGGATGAAGAGCGCTCCGGCCAATAACATTCTCTGTAATCGTTCGTCTTGAGCTAGGCACTCAATGTCCCCTCCTGTGGGTTGATCTTGGGACAGCATCAAGAGACGCTATTTCCGGAAGACTGTTAGAAACTTTCCACTTCTCGAGTATGCTGTTGGTCAAGGCCAGGCACAATGGGGTGCCATACTTTGCGCGGTTGTAACCACCAACAAACAGCACTCCGAGGATGCAGGAACCGCATGGCCCTCATGTCACAGGTATCTCGGCACTGCGGGCAGCAGGAAGCGGATGCTCGAAGGGATTTTATTGGTATCATAATACATCTACGTGATCGGTACATAACTACAGACATGCTGATATACATCACATTTTGAGGTACTGCTCTGGTGCTTTTCTAGCTGGTCTTAAAGTGACCGTGACGAACTCAGGTTGGTGTAATAGTGAGCAACAAAAATTGGCATACCGTACAATGGTATTGCACAGTGATTCTTAGTTGCGGAATTTGGCAAAAAAAGGGTCTTGCCGCGACTCGAACGCGGGGCCTCTCGCAAGCTGTGCTTGGGTTTACCCTAAGCGAGCTGTACATCATTAGTTTTCACATCTTCAGATCCAGATCGGTTTATACATACAATCATACCACTAGACCACAAGACCTTGTTCTGTTTGTGTTGTGGGACAGATGTTGGACGAATTGACCTTCACCACGAGCCCGCTCACGTGATTGATGGCAGCAAGCTAAATTCTGCGCAATATATATGCGATTCAAATGGAACTTCAGCCCGACATAATGCTACAGTACGGTAGTGGCTCAAAGCTACAGAAATGCAATCCAAATTAGAACACGGTCGGGGCGGTGAAGAATTTGCGACTCTATTTTACGAACCAAATTGTGGGTCACCCCTGCCACCAGGCCTACACTACGAGAGGCACCTGAATGACATGAGGCTCGTGTGATTATATATTTCCGGCATCGGCAACCAAGAAAGCTTGATCAGACTTCACAGCACCTCATCTCCAGCCACGCAGTCTGTGTTGCTAGGGTATTTGCGGATATTTCCGGCACTGACCTGCACACCTATACCTACGGATTTCGTCTCACGCAATAATCGGAGGAACAGCGAAAGCATGACACGGAACATGGTCACTTCCTTGACGTCGAAGGTCATCATACGCGCAGCCGAGTTCCCAGCCGATAAGGAAATTGTCAGCCAACTCTTCCTTGAATATGCCCAGTCTCTTCCCATGCCACTCGACCTTCAGGGTTTTGAGGAGGAATTGGCAAGGCTTCCCGGAAAATACGCTGTCGAGAAGGCCGGGGCCATCTTCCTCGCATACACGACCAATGCATTGACGGACCAAGATGAAGCAGCGAATGAACAGGAGACCATAATAGGTGTCGTGGCACTGCGGTCCTTCGCCACCTCGAATACGATTCCGACTTGCGAGCTCAAACGCCTCTATCTTGCACCCTCAAGCCGCGGACTTGGTGTATCGAAGAAACTCATGGATGTGGTGGTTGCAAGAGCCCGAGAGCTAGACAATAAGGAGATGCTGCTTGACACTTTGAGCAGCATGACTGCTGCGAGGAGATTGTATGAAGGTTATGGATTCGTCGAGATTGAGAGCTACTATCAGAGTGTCGAAGACGCAGTATTCTACAAATTGGTATTGTAAGAGATACCCGAACCGAGCATATACGGATGGCTACGAGGCTTCGTCTTGCTCAGTCTTGTTCGCCCACATCCACAAGATCTCTCCGCCCTTGACTTTGGCTGCGGCCAGCGGATTTCCCTCGCCTTCGAGACACGTCCCAACAATTTCGTCGAAGCCACAGCGCAGGTAGAAGTGTTCGTTAGTGTGGCTGGTCAATACGCTCGCGTGGACATTTTCTTCCCTTGCGCGATCAAGGCCCCATGTGACGAGCGGCCTGCCCACCCCGCGCTTCTGGTAGTCTGGGTGAACGCAGCATAAGTTGAGATACCAATTTATGGGGCGAGGGAGGCCATTGGTGATGCCTTCCCAGTGGTGTTTGAAGTATGGCCACGAGTCGGCCAAGATGTTGACCTTGGACTCGTCGATGGCCCGATTGTTGGTCGAAGCTAGGGGAGGAAAGGCATCGGGCCCTGGATCCTTCCATTCTTGCATGACCTTTTGCGCGCCGTCATCGTCGCCTTGTCGTTGCCATGTAGCCATTCCAACAATTTTTTCTACGCCGTTTTCTGTGTCGGTGGCAACAAGCATCCTGTCGCGCGGGTCATTCAGCATTTTGCGCATGCGGCCGTGCCAGAAGATTTGCACATCGTTGGGGTACTGGTCTCTATGGGGATGGATGAGCTGACCAAAAAGTGGTTCATTGAAGAAGGCTGCCGCACAAATTGCTGCTACATATGGCTCATCTTCGGGTGTGGCGAGGCGAACAGGCATTGTGACGGGTTTGGAGTGTATAGAAAAGACGATAGGCGTGTTACATTGTCAGGAAGCTCGGAATATGCGGGGTTAAAGATAGCTAGGCACGTTCAGGCGGGCATGTGTGGCACAGCTGGGGTGAAGTTCCCCCGAGTCCATCCACGAACCAAGCAACGTGCGGCATGTCCATGGGCCAGTCGGTGTGAACATGGCTGTGTGCAAGGGAGAAAGTGCCCGGACATGTGGGCTTCTGTGGAGGCTGTAGTTTTGTCCTAATGCAGGGCTCCGGAGGTGGAGGTCCCGTTACGTCAGCGCGCCACTGCCGCGGTAGTATACCGAAAGAGCGCGAACCTTCACCGGTGCGACAAAGCTCTCACTCATTGCAACGAGTGCCATGACACCATGAGACATTTCTCGCGTCTCTCGCCCGAAGCTGAGATGTATTCCTCGACTGTGAACTCGTAGTCAATTGTGCTGTCACCTTCGGGGATCACCGTGGAGTGATTGTGCCTCGAACCGCCAGGTCCACGCTACCTGTTGAGCTCGCCAGTCACTGCAACAACTACACGCAGTCGCTGCGTGCTGGCTCTTATCACATCACATAGCGACGCGCTGAAACTCGACCGCAATATTGCGAGTGATATCTACAACAATACACGCCACCGCGTCACAACTCAACAGCTACCCCGCCAACATGACCTCTCTCCGCGAAGACAGCGCCATGAGCGACATGAGCACTGCCCATCAGCGGAAGCAGAACGAGTACAGCTATCGCCTCCCCTCGGCTCCACGTATCGTCGTTCCCCCACCAACTCTAAGCACCGATATGCCTGGCCTTATTGTGGGCCCTGCGTCTCTTGGTGGCATCGACTTGGGCTTCCTCAAAGAATTGGATCTCCAAGACATCATACAAAGGAATACGCTCCTTGAGTGGGCCTACGAGCGACGGAGACACGCACAGATGATGCTGCCCTGGCTTTACCTGGGGCCCATGTTGGCAGCCAAGGACAAGGTTTTCCTGACCAACGAGGGCATCACCATGGTTCTCGCGATACGTGCCCAGGACAAGAGCATGACTGGCGCACTAAAGGCTGCTGGCGAAGTGTGTGCCCAAGTCTCTACCATTGAAACACCGACGTTCCACGAACTCATTGGTAGATTTGGCGAGACAACCAGGATGATCAACACTCACATTGCACGTTTCCGTCAACACACCGTCGAGACGACTGGACAACCTGGGCTGGGCAAAGTTCTCGTATTCTGCGAGTCTGGTAATGAGAAGTCTGCCGCAGTGGTTGCAGCTTATCTAATGGAGACGCTCACCAATTTCGACCACGTCAAAGCCATGCAGGTTTGCCAGGCGCAACGCTTTTGCGTTAATTTTGACGATACTCTCAAGAATATCCTGCAGTCCTACTGGGACCTCCTACAAGCTCGACGATCAGTTGCCTGCGTCACTCCCATACCTGCCCAGCTCAGCGGAGCAAGCAACGGCTTTGCCCACAACGGCTTGGCCTTGCCAACCCCCACCAACTCGAAACAAAAAAGAACCATAGACAGCACTCGGGACGATGAGGACATGGACATGGATAATGGCATGGACTCATCAGATGCCCTTCGATTTGTAGGACGAGACTCGACTCCATTTCAGAGCCGTGAGGACTAGTGAACTCAGATACCGCAATCGGGTACCGCACAGTACCTCAAGGTACCATACATGCAACATACACGGTCGGTTCTCATTCTATTAGCATTATACCCCGCATTATGTACGGCGTTTCTCCTGGTCACCTCTTGTGCTTCCTTTCATGCCGTCTGTGGTAGTTTAGTCAGACAGTGTTCTTGATGCTACCGCTTCTCCAAGAAGTCCCCTCATTCCTGCGATTTGTGAAGAATAGCTCCACGAAAATTCCACCACAATTAGCAATCTACTCTATCGTCTTCGACGCACGTGTGAGTCAATTTCGCTTCGTCCATTGTCATACAAATGTCGAAGCCGCTTAGACCGTGGTGTGCTCAAGATTGTAAACATGAATTTGAGGTACAGTGTAAGGATGTGCTGTCAACGTAACAAGCACAGACAGCGCGATTGTAACTGCCTGAACGGCAAAAGGTCATATTCCCCCTCCGAGGGAAAGACCCTTCATCGTTCACCTTGAATCCTTAGCGTTATGTTTAGCGCACCCCAAGTTACCGTGGTATGTCAACATCTATCTGCTCGCCTCCAACTTTTCATATGCTCAACAATCTTGGACTTCCACTCAGCTTGCACCATTACCTCGTCACAAACATAGATTCTTGGTTGCGTCTAAGATGCCGTACAAGCTGCGCCCAGAGAGCAAGCTAAAAAGGCCTTTCTGGTACCAAAGCGAGGACGATCACGATATATATAACGCCTCAAACCCAGAGTTTACTGACGCTGAACCATGGAAACATAATACAGAAGACTCAACGGGTTGCATAAATTCAGCCGTGGCGCACTTCCAACCTGGTGAATCCTCACTCACTTCACATCACCGTCCGTCACACCAGTGTTCACCGACCAGACGCACCTCCAAGCTGATACAACTGCAGAATCAAGACAGCCTCTTGACATGGCTAATATCAAGCACGTTCGTCCGAAGCGGAAGGCCGATGATGAAGGAAGAAGCCTCGAAGATATTGGACGCGCCGCCCGTGCCAGGCTTCAAGCTATGCAGCCACCCATTGAGCTAACTGCACTTTCCATCGAACTCAACGCGCAGCCCGTGGCTTTTCCCAGCTTACCTACAGATCGACCGACAGCTGGACCTGTCGAGCAGCCAAATGACCACGGGCTTCCTCGGCGCATGGAGGCATCCAAGAAGTGTAGCCAGGCGGGCATAGAGAGATCCGAGCGCGCGGTCGATGCCATGTACGCCTGCACGCAATTCCCTGAGACCCTGCATGTGAAGCAGAAGGAGTGGTACACTGATCTGCGGAAATGCTGGCTGCCTGGCGAGGAACATGTGGAGGTGCGTTGTTCTCTGCGATGCGTTATCTTGACGCTGACAAGCCTTTTGTCATGACTAAATTCATAGACTCACATAACTAAGATGCGTAGGACATCGAATTTGCATCACTATACCCCTCTCTTCGCGCAACAATCATCACCCAAATCTACGAGGCGTTTCCCTTAGGCACATATCATGATGGCTACCTACCTGTCCGCCACTTGCTTCAGATCAACAACTCGACGTTCCAGAAGATCGCCCAGGAGAATGCCCATG